GAATGACATTAAGTTTTCCAATATCTTTGAATGGGATATTTCTCAAACTCCCCTTAACTATTTCTATTAATTTTCATTTTTTAATAGTTCTTGCCAGCAGCCTCAGTCCGTATCGTGAAGGAAGATTTATAGAGAGGCGACTGAGATCCTCCTCAGAAGGAACTGCGGGGAGTAGCAGAATGATTTTGAAGCCAAAAGATGGAAACGTAGAAGAAGCAAACAGTTTAAGAAAGCAAAGAGCAGGCTCCTCGTCCTCAAAGATGAACAGTATGGTAAGTAGTTACGTCTGTTTTGAAATGAAATAATTTCTTGAATCTGGCATGTTCGTGTCTTGTAAAAGAACTGCAGATGGAAGAATACCTAGTACTTGCAGGGGAAGTTGGTGTCCTCAGTTGATGTCCCAAATCAGAGGGGCAAATTTGTCACTTGAGATTCTTACGGGACAGGACAGATAAAGGCACAACAGGAGCTGCATCTGTCCCTGCCTTCTTGCTCCCCTGACTTCTCCAGTTTAAGACAAACCTGTAAGATGCCAAAGTAAGAGAAATACCATTTGTGAAGGGTACCAGTGGATACTATCATATCTTACCAGCTGTTCACCCCATAAACTACTCTAGACAGTTACCTTTTGTGAAACATACTCTTGCCAGGACCACCCATAGACCCTCCGTGGAGTGCCTCTGCATTGAGCACGGAGCCTGGGGCCACTGGGAATGCTTACCTGCAGTGTGAATGCAGAGAGCAGATTCTGGAGGGGATGCGTGTGTGTGAGCTGCGCAGTGTGGCCAGGGACTCACATGCGAAGCTTCACCATATCCTGTGGTGGCCCTGGCAGTGGGAAGAAATGCAGGGTGCACTGCAGTCCCAGGCCCTCAGATCTCATGAGCATTAAGACAAGCTTGTGATTTGACCCAGAGTGCAACCCCTCAGCGGAACCCGTCAGCAGAACTCCCTGCAAAGAGGCTAGAGGCAGGACCCACCCAGCTGATTCAGGAGCAGAACATCTTGCCAGAGTGACAAAAGGGTTCAACTCAAATGGCTGCAGCAGGAAGAAGTGGAACACAGCAGCCAGACCTCAGCCAGATCCAAGCAGCACCCACCTGGAGGAATCTGAACTTCGTAGATCCGGGCCTGGTGCTAAGGTAATAACTCTATCTAAGCTCTACACCAAAGGTCAGAAGACAGTGGTATACAAAATGACAAAGAGAAGAAAGAAAATATAGTCTCAGGCCCTGAGTTCACCCAGTACAACTGCAGAAGACACTAGCACTGAGGAAACTGGAAATCACACACCAGATATCTCTGAAATAATAGCGTTGACAGTAAAGAATCAACTGCAGAAAGGTATAGAAGAAATCAAATCAGAAATAATTTCTGAACTAAAAAATGTAGTGATAACTAATTAAAGAAGTACTGAGTGCTTCTAAAGAATACACTGATAAACTGTTTGTGTGAACGTGAAAATAGACTTTCTGACCTGAAAGACACTATTGCAGCTAGTGAAAAAGTAAGAAAGGATCTCTTAAAAACAACTAGGATGCAGGAAAAAATAATTCAATACCTGTAAGACGATGCAAAGGTGAACAATGTGAGACTAATAGGCATCAATGAGAAGGAAGGAGTCAATACAAATGATCTAAAAAGAATATGGGCAGAAGTAATAGCAGAAAACTTCCCAAATATGGGGCAACAATCTGACATTCCTGTAACCGAAGCATATAGAACTCCAAATAATATCAACCCATTGAAAACCACACTCAGACATATAATAATCAAGATCCCAGAAATTGAGCACAGGAACAGCATACTAAAAGCTGCTAAAGAAAAGAAACAGATCATATTTAAAGGAAAACCCATCAGAATAACAGCAGATTTCTCATCACAAACCATCAAGTCAAGAAGAGCATGGAGCAAAGTACTTCAAGTCTTGGAAGAAAACAAATTTCAACCCAGACTGATATACTCTGCAGAACTCTCTTTCAAGTATAATGAAGTGAAATACTTCCAGGACAAAGAACAACTAAAGAATTTCATGATGACAAAGCCAAGCCTACACAGACTACTCAATGATACTCTAGAGAGGGAGCATATTGATCACAGCCCCATGAATAAGAATGGAAAGAACCCACCAAATAGGGCAAAAAATTAAACACAGGAGAATAAGGGGTATACAATAGTAATCTTTCAGTTATTCTTTTGTGTTCAGCAGCAGAATATTTCCATCTGCACACTCTACAAATGGACTTCTCTTTCACCCTATGGGTCATGATTCCATCAGAGTCTACAGTGTGGATTTCAAAGAACTAGCTGTAGCTCAGTCCCACAAGTGACACCTGGCCACCAGTAGCTGTCACAGTCATTATGCATGTCCCCAACACACTAGAACTTTGTGCAGTACCCTATTCTCAAACTGTTAGAAGTGCTGGTCATTTATTTGCCATTCCAGTATTTATCTTATGTTTTACTGTCAGTACTTCTTTGCTATCATGAAAACTTTTTCTTAGTTCAATTGTTTTGAAATGTTTAATTTTTAATTAATTAGTATTTAATTTTCTGAATATTGCTTAATCTCAATTTTTGTTCTAAGACTTATACTATATCTTTGACTTACAATTTATTTAAAAGAGATTGTATGATATCCTCTCCTAGTATTAGAAACTTTAAAAAATATATTTCCATTTTCTGTTGACCTTTTATTACTTCTTCCCTGTTTTTTATACACACATACACACACATATATATGAAAAAAAATACATGTAGAACCCCACATAAGATTAGTACTGTTTCATAGAAATCTTCAATGACCTTAAATAAAGGTTCATCTAATATATTTCATATAATCCTGCTTATCATATTGAGAGCTTTTTATTGTTCATTCAGGAGCATACTGCAACTTCTCTTGCCTTTTGAATTATGCTCTTTGTTGCTTCATATATGCTATTTCTGGAGATATTAAAATATTTCAAGTTTGTATGACTAGAAAAATCTTACTTTTAGTTTTCAAAGGTATATTTGCTAAGTATAAAATTCAAAGAGAACAAATCTTTTGTTTTCTTTCAGTACTTTAATTAGTCTAGTTTCTTACACCATTGTCCTTTTTTTTCTTTCTAATGTGAAATAAGATGCTATTAAATTTCATTCTTCCATAGCTAATATTTTTTATGTATATGCTTTAATTTTTTTCTTTACAATAAGTTTTGGACAAATTCATTTTTGTGTATTTTGGTATGATTTTATTTAAATTTCTTGTGCAAAAGGTTCATTTTTCTTGGAAATGTGGTATTATAAGTTGAACTAAATTCAGAAATTTTAAATCTTTAAATATTTATTGCCTAATCCTTTCTACTTTGAGAATTCTAATTATATGAATATAATTTTCTTGGTTTTGATACAGTGAACTATTTATTATGAATGATCTGTAAATTATTTCTTCATTTTTATTTTGAACAATTTTTAGTGTTATATTCATTTATGTTGGTAAAAAATTTATTTTCAGTTTGCAATCTATTAAAAAATAGAAAAGATAAGCTTGCCTTTTGGAGCTCTTGCAACCGTGTGCTTAATTCTTACCATTTTACCAGTGCTTCTTTACCTCCCTACTTCTCAGTGGACGTGGGGGAAATACTAAAAATAAATGAGTTGCAAACCATGCCATTTAGGTAATTAAGTTTCAAGTGAAAGGAGTAGGCCACCCACATCACATTATAAGGACGGAAACAGTGAGTTGCAGAAATGACTTTGAGCCATTTTTCCGGCTTTGTTGCATGTTAGCCTTGGGGAAGTCAGGAAATACGGAGCTACGCATGATTGTGGGCTTCTGCTACTACTAGTTCAGTGTCTGAGAAGGCTGTGTGTGTCTTTAAATCTGTACATGCAGGATGGTGCTATGCGGTATTTCAACTTCCTGTTTGTTCTTTTGTATGTTGAAAGATATCACCGTTATAGTTGATATTGTGTCGATGAAAAAATATTTAAAAAAATTTCAAGTACAACATTAAAAATTTGGACAACTAAGTATTACAAAGCATTTCTTTTCAGAAAATTTTCATTATTTCTTCATAGAGGAGTATTTATATTAGTAGTTTTATACTCTATATTCAAATTGTCCCAAATTGGATTTTTATATATTCTTTTATACCTCAAATATTTTATTATTAAATTTTATTTAAATGGTTTTTTTTTGGTAATGTCACAAAGTTGGTGTCCATTGCAACTCGGCTTAAAATCTCAAATTTCAAAAAGTGACTTTGAACTTTTACTTGAAGTCTCCATTATGTACTTTTCAGAATTCCTCTGTGCAGCTATATAGTATGTCCACTAGATGGCAGGATTGTACCATTGCCGCAAATGTAGAAACTAGCAGGGGCCTCAAGTTTTTAAAGATGCCACATTCATTCACAGACTTGGACGTAATGTTAAAATAAATACAGTACTGACACTCTTGACTTTTCAAAAAAGAAACATACCAAATTATTGCATGATTTTACATTTACATTTCATTATTTTCATGATTTCATGGAAACATTTCTCTTGAGTTTTGTAATTTATATCTCATCCTTCAGTGCCTTTCAAGGTAAAATACTTAGGGTAGAATGAATGAAATTGTTCTGTTTAACTTTTGACCACTAAGGTCACCATCTTTTTTTTTAACAAGAGATGCTAGGATGCTTTCTGTAATGGTAGATTTATGTAAAAACAAATGACTTAGGAGTACAGAATGTTATATTTTCTCTGCAAATTAATTCTTACAAATTAATTCAAGCAACAGTTTTAAGAATGAGTCTCTAGTACAGTCATTATTTCATTTTATAACAATAAGATTGACATGTTTTTAGGGCCGGCCAAATAGCTCAGTGGATAAAAGCACCTGCAAACGGGCACAGGGGCCAGGGGCTCGATCCCCAGGCCTGCCGTGCCGACCCCCCTTCTGCCCCCCCTGGGAGCGCTAAAATGGCAAATGAGATCGGGCGTGGTGGCGCTTGCCTGTACTCCTAGCTCTTCGGCAGATCACTACGAGTCCCCTCTAGTAGTGAGACCTTATAAACACCCTGCAGACCTTTCTCTAAAATAAAATAAAAAAAAAGATTGATATGTTTTTGATGCTTTGTTTCAACCACGGGTCTACCTCCTTGTAGTGTTTCTTGTGTATCGTCACATTCAGGCCTTTCAGTGACTCTGGCAGTGAAGTGCACGGTGTTAGTCAGATCTTAGAAAAGAATAAAATAAGGTGCTGAGAAGATAAACAACTTTCCTAAAATTGCTCAATAGCAAA